ACGAGCAGTTGCACTAGTAGTGCCACATTCATGTACACCGCCACAATCATTGACACCGTGATCAAATATGCCTAATGCACGAGGCATAACTCAAAAATAACACTTGAAACAGTTTAACAAATAAATAATAATTTGACTAAAAATATATTATAAATTATTATGAATTAAAAAAAATAAAAATCTAAAAATTTGATATTCTTTTGTTACCGAAAACGCCACCGGTTCAAAATTCAACACGTCCAAAATTTTTGAGGCAACATAAAATTATTTAATTAATAATTTTTTAAAATATTTTATAAATTTTTGGCAACGTATCTCTAGTAAATTATGACTTTTTTCAATTAATAAATACCCCAAATTATCACATAAATAACAAATTAAATCAACTAATAATCAATTTATGCACATTGAGATCAATAATTGTTCGGATACTCCATCAAAATTAAATTCCAAACTCATCCTCTTAGCTTAATCATAGAGCATTGAACCAACCTTATTTCTTATCTCCACTCTCGAGGGTCTCCGACTCTTCGGGATCGATACACTATAGCATATCTCGGTACACTTTAATAATTATATATAAAATAATTAAACTAATTAATTCTAATTCTAACCTAATTAAGTTTAAAATAACACACACACACACACACACACACACACACACAAATATATATATATATTCAACCAATTAAACATAATTAACCTAATTAATTAATTAATTAACCAACCTTGTTTCTTATCTCAACTCTCGAGGGTCTTTGACTCCTCGGGTTCGATACACTATGACATATCTCGATACACTTCAATAACTATATATAAAATAATTAAACTAATTAATTCTAATTCTAACCTAATTAAGTTTAAAATAACACACACACTTACACACACACACACACACACATATTTAACCAATTAAACATAATTAACCTAATTAATTAATTAATTAAATCAAATAAACTTAATTAAATCTAATTCTTACCAAATTAAGTTTAAAATAACAATAAATTAAGAATTTTTACTATAATTAAAATTTTAATTCAACCATGTAAACCTAATTAACCAAATTAATTAATTAAATATAAATCAAATTAACTTAATTAATTCTAATTCTAGTCAAATTAAATTTAAAATAACAATAAATTAATAATTTTTATTATAAATAAAGTCTTAATTCAACCAATTAAACATAATAACCTAATTAATTAATTAAACATAAATCAAATTAACTTAATTAATTCTAATTCTAAATAGATTAAATTTAAATAACCATAAATTAGCAAGTTTTAGTATAAATAAATTTTTAATTCAACCAATTAAGTAAAATTAACCAAATTAATTAATTAAATATAAATCAAATGAACTTAATTCTAATAGCCTTACATCCATAGCAAGGTAGTCATCTTGACGGTTGCTACCGATCCGATGGCGGACTAGCCCCTACCGCCTTTGCTTCCTCCTCCTTTTTCCTTCCTTTTTTGTCCGACCTTATCCCTAATCCTAAACTTATTTCACATGCCTTTTTGTTTATATTGCCTCCGCCTCTCACTTTAGAAAACTTACAAAAAAAATGGCAATATGGTAGATCCGAATATTGCTCCCGAGCGACACACTTTAGTCGATGGGTAACTCACGATTAACTTTTCCTCTACAAAAATAATTCAAGAAATAATCTTTTCTTGCATACTCGGCCATAAAGTTTATAGACATCGGGCCCTTTATTAATGTCATAAGAGACTAGATTCATCAACATTGGTGATTAAAACCCGATCCTATAGTGGGTTTTCTAGGTCCTCATCATGTTTTCATTAGGACATTCTCTATAGAAGATTTTGCAAAAGCTTAGTCTATTAAAATTCATGAAATACAATTTTCCCTTTTAGATTATTCAAGTGGGATCCATCATACCACCCTAATAAAGAATCTTCTTTGGTTACGGTATGGGTTCATCTCCTTTATCTCCTAGTCTCTTTTTTCTAAAAGGAATTATTGGAGAAATAGTAAACTCTTTTGGAGCATTCTTGAATGTGGATGATAGAACTCCAAATGTTTCTCATCCACTACATACAAGAGTTTACATAGAGCTTGACTTTCTATGTCCTTTCCCGGAGGAGATTTGAAGCTAAGTTGGCATGGATAGAAATAAAGGCTTTTGGTAGAAGATTGTTTATGAAGGGAATCTAGCTTATTGCACTTCATTGCGACACTCGTGGACACTACTAACTACAATACAGGAAAAAAAAATACTAATCCAAAGCCTCCTATAGATAATCGCCATCATCCTAGATAACCCACCAATAAGGCCCTCGTCACTTTTAATACATCAAACCACTTGGTGAAGGAAAAAAATCTTTGGAAGAAAAAAGGCCAACCATCCGGTATATTGAAGGGTGTTTTAGTTTTGAATCCATCTACCTTACACGCTTCTATTCTAGTATCTAAAGCAATTGGTACAACATTATAGACTACCTCTAATATGGATATATCAATAAAAAAAGGGTAAACATATGTCTATGGAGCTAATCTTACCCTCACCAAATCATCATGAAACAAATAGAAATATCGCATAGTTCGGTGGAAATGAAACCTTATTTGAAAAGCCAAGCTCTCCCTTCATCAAAATTATTATCCTTACATCTAATGATGATGATACTCCAAATGAAGAAGTAGGTTCTAATGTGTACAGAGGTGACGTGAATTCTATGCTATGTGCCTTGCATGAATCTTATAATAAATTCTCCTTATTAGTGACTTCAACTTCTAAACCAATTCCTCCGTATAGCAAGGATGATTATTTATTTATTTATTTATTTTTGTAATGGTTAAGGAAGGAGTATGTTTATCTTTAAAAGTGGGTTCCCTAACTAAGGGAGATAGTTTACAATGGACTGACTCTCTAGCTCATTCAAAAATGGAGGAATTTGGTTACTTTGCAGTCCATTGCTATTGACGAGGAGACTTTTGAAATCCCAAAATACCATAAGAAGAAAAATAAGAAAGCCCTTCTTACCATGACAAATATACGTCACAATACTAGGTCCTCTAAGGATCCTTTTGGTAACACATTCCTTTTCTTTCCTTAATGAGATGCATGGCATGGAATGCTAAAGGCATTAACTATCTAGAAAAAGGTATATATCTTAAAGGGTTGATAAGATTGTACAACATTAATTTTTTAGTTATTCTTGAACCAAATTTATAGAGTGAGAAAATTAAAGAGCTGGCTAGATTTTTAAAATTTGATTATTATTTGCACAATATCCTTGTAAACACTTATATTTGGATTCCCTCTAGAAACTCTAATATTTCCTTTTATAGTTCTTGTAGTCAATCCATCATAGTAGAGAACTCTAATACTGCTACTCCTAGAATTCGTTTGTTTTCTTGCATTTGCAAAGATTGTAAAAGGATTGTTCAAATGGAATTATGAAATTACTTATTGGGCATCAATGCCTTTTCTCCTTATCTTGTTTGTGGTGATTTCAATATCATCACCTCGTATATTGAAAAAGCAAAGAGGCATGCACTTGACTCGAGTCTTGTGGAGGAGTTCATTAATCGGGAAGGACCCATTATTGCTGGTTATGTTGGTAATATATTCACGTGTTATAATAACCATGTAGGAACTGCAAGACTCTAAGAAAGACTAGATAGATGAATTTTCAATGCTTCTTTTTAAGCAAACATGCTAGTACTTGAGTTCACCCATCTTCTATGAGTTTTCTCTAATGATTGCCTTTTTATTCTATCTTTTAACGTGAGAAGATCCAAACCTACTAGGTTCACCTTCAAAAAATATGGACTCACCTTGATGGTTTTTTATAATTGGTGTAACAACACCAATCTCAACATGATACTTTGAATCCCCTCATAATTTTTTAGCTAAATCTTAAAGTGATTTGCCACGCACTTTGTGAAGGATCATACATCTTATAGAGATGTAGAATAAAATAAATTTTTTTCTCTATCTAAAAGGGCCAAGATCAAGCCATTGAATCTACTAACTATACATGCATGAATTAAAGCATTAAATAAAGGATTACCTCTTATAGCGTAGATCTAAATTCTTTAGCGAGAAAAGAGCCATCCAAGTGTTCGACTTTTATTGATGATCCACACAGTTCAAGTACCTATAAATAAATACTCAAAATTGATAGAGTTCTAGCTCCACCTTTTATGATTTATGTAGTGTTTCCTATAGAAATCTAATCCGGACAATTTTGTGACGACCTTAGAGAGAGGGAGAGAAGGTGGTGTGCTAGGGGTTTTTGTGAGAAAACTATTTTTCTTTTCTTTTCCTTCTTGGCTGTATGCCCTAATCCTCTTTTGATTTTCATCTAATTCTCTCTCTAATAAAGTTCTATCATTGCCACACCTCTTCTTCTATTTATAAGGAGAGAGTTTCCTAGTCCTCTTAGGTAAAGGATGGTAGTAACTTGTCCTAAATAGGACTTATCGTTGTTGCTTCCTAATCCTCTATGGATTATGAGTTATTTTACATATGGGCTTTTGATTTTTATCTTTATAACATTCATCCTTATCCAATAAGGTTCATATTTATCTTCCCACCAAAATATCTTTAGGCTTTTAATTAAACCTATTGACCCAATTAATTAATTTGGACTATCTAAATAAATAAACTTAGATAATTTGAGGTGACCTATATTATAAGTCAAACCCATCCAAAAGGGTTGAATCTTAGGCATCTACACTAACACTTTGCACTTAGAACTAAGAATAATATGGAAACATCTATTATTATATATCTGAAGTTAAGGATGAGGTTACTCATAAGGAAGCTAAGCTTTTTATTTCCGCCCCATATGATTTTGTTTAGAGCTTAGTGGTAGCGAAGAAAAAGTTATCTTCATTAGTTCTACTTGGAAGATATTTTTCTACTAGAGAAGGCAAGAGTTAAATGGGTTAAAGAGGAAGATAGAAACCATTTCTCTTTTCATGCAAGTATAAGATCGTATCAAAAGTAGTGTAAGATCTCTTTGAAGATCAATGGTGTAAATTACACTAATGATGCAACTTTGGGAAATGATGTAGTTACTTACTTTCATGATCTTTTACAATCTAGACTAGTGGCTCTTCTTGATGAGCTTCTGAGGCTCTTCCCACATTGGTTACCTCGAACAAAACCACATGCTTTTAGAGGTCTCATCTCGCTTTAGAAATAAAATAAGCTATCTTTGATATAAACCTACCAAATTTCTTGGGTCTTAATGGGTTTACTAGTGCTTTCTATCAATCCTGTTGGGATTTGATTATCCATTCTCTAATTCAAGCAATCCAGGATGTGTTTAAAGGTGTTGTTATTTCAAAAGCTTAATGACAATGTCTATGGTGCTAGTACCTAAATGAAAAAACCCTTCATCTTATAGTCATTTAAGACCTATAAGTCTTTATAATGTCTCTTTCAAGATTATTTCTAGGATTTTCACTTAGAGGCTTGACATAATTTTACCACTCATTATCTTAGAGAAGAAATCCAATTTTGTTAAAAGGTGGATAATTCAGGAAAATATAGCCTTAGCGCATGAACTCTTTAAGGAAATTGATTGAAAAATGTTTAGAGGGAATGTAGTATTTAAAATGGATGTAGTGAATGCATATGATAGGTTAAAGTGGTCTTACCTACTCAAAACCATGCGAAATTTCCTTTCTCTAAAGAATGGTACTCTCTTATTCACCGTTGCTCGAATAATTGCTAGTATTATATGGTGCTGAATGGCAATTTATTTGGTTTATTCAAGTCGGGAAGAGGTGTTTTCCAAGGGGATCATCTCTCATCTACTCTTTTCATAATTGCTCAAGATGTGTTAAGTAGGAATATGAACTCTCAAGTTACTTTAGGTTGATTACTACCATACCATTATGGAGGGACAACTATAATTATGAATCATTTATTTTTTATAGATGATATGATCTTGTTTAATAATGTTTTGAATCCCTTCTTAACAAATATTGTGCATGCGAGTGGTTAGTTGATTAACATTAGTAAAAGTGGATTCCTCTACAACATCAAACTCCCTTTGAATTATATTCGACTTTTAAAAAGGTGGACTAGTTTTAGGCATTCGAAGCCTCCCATTCTTTACTTGGGGATTCCTCTCTTCAAAAGGCATGGTAAACTATCTAAATTTTAGTTACTCGAAGAAAAGATCAACGAGTAAATTAGCGAGGTTGGAAAGGAAAACTTCTATCTACGAGAGGTAAGCTCACATTGATTCGATCTATTCTTTCTTCTCTTCTAATTTATACAATGGTCATCATGCTAGTCCAAAGAAGATAGTGCTATGAATCCGAGTCACATTGCTAACTCTTTCTAGAATAATGGGGGTGAAGGGATACACCATTGGCTTAGCTCGGGTAAAAATCTCTAAACCTTATACAAAAGAGGGGTTTTGGGGTCGAGAACTTGTATGAGTAATGTTATCCATGAAGGGTAAGCTATCATAGGCTTACCTTCAAGGCTCTTCCTTATGGGCTCATTTTGAGAATTCTAAATATGGTTCCCTTAGTTCCTTGACTTTAAGTATGATTAGGGGTTCGCTCATTGGGAGACACCTCTTGCCTCACATTTCCTTCCTTCAAGATAACTCTTAATGGCTGGTTGGTCGGGGATTATTTCTCTAGGTCGTTAGCATGTTGATGATCAAAGCCCTTTAACAAATCTTCTTATGAAGGAAGTGATGAGGAATCCTTTTGTTTTGTCTTCACTTCCTCCCATAGTACAACAATCTAGATCTTATATCTATATCTTATCTATTGAATAGGATAGATTGATCTTCATTCCTTCTACAATTAGAGATTTTTGAACTCTTATCTTTAGGCAACACTTGAGGACTCATGGATCTAGTTTTGAATGGTGGAAGTATGTTTAAAATAATAGATTCCAATAAAAATAATGATCTTATCTTGAAAATAATCAACAATGGAGTGGTGATGGATAAAAATGTATAGCAATGTTGTGTTGCTATGTCTTCTAACTACCATTGTTGTAAAAACCCTTCAATGAAGTAGGTTACACACCTATTTTTGCATGGTGATATTGTAGTCACCGTTTGGAATTATTTTGGCCCCATCTTTAACATTTGCACTATAAGCCATAACATGAAAGGCTTTATCGGTAATTGAATATGTAATATGGTTCTCATTAACCAAAAATCCTTCTTAAGGATGATGGTATTTCATTATACTCTCTAGAAAATCTAGAAAGCTCGAAACAAATCATTTTTTTGGTGACATATCATTGAATGGAGATGTGATCATTTTCAAGGTGAAGAAATGGCTTTATGAACAATAGGCTATATTCATTCCGTGGTCTAGTCTTGGCTTTCATGATCAACTTAACATCCAAGCTCTAAATATACCTCTCGTTCACCCTTGATTGCCTAGAGGACGATGGATTTCTTGGTCTTGTCTCGCTTATGTATATGTTTATACTTAACCGTGATGGACTCACTTAGGGTGGCTTCGTATACTAGTGGTGGTATTGTGAGGGATTGGCTTGGCAATTTTATCTTTTGTTTTTCTTTCTTTTACGGTATAAGTTCTAATAACAAGGGCAAAATTTATGTTGTTATGGATGGTTTGAACTTTTATAGGAATAACAATATGCCGAGTACATTATGTTGAGCTTGATTTGAAATTAGTGGTTGAATCTATTTTTGGAATTCATACAGTTCCATGGCCTTTAATTTACCCCCTTTACAAATGCAAACTCCTCTTTGGCCCATGCAAATTGTTGCATGTTTACGGAGAAGCTAACTTCATAGCCGATCACCTAAGAGATCATGCATATACACATAGAGATTAAGAACTTTATCATTCAATTGTTTCACTCCTTGTGTCAACTCGTATGGACTTCAAGAGGATTGGCTCGACCTAGCTAGGTTCGGGATGTAGATATTGTTATAACTTGGTTAAGTTTTCCTTTTCTTGTAGGCTAGTCTTAATCACTATCATGTGTTTATTTTGTTATGGGGTTTTTTTTCTAGTACTTTTCGGGAAAATTTTCTATAATTGTTCGGGGGTTTAGGTTTCTTTTTCTTCCTAGTGTGTTGAGTTAAGCTCGGTTTGTCGCCCTTTGTGTTCTTCTATGTTTCATCTATGCCATTCCGTGGTACCATCCCTGTTCCATAATAATAATAACAATAATAAATTTAAACTAACAATTAATTAACTATTTCTAATATAAATAAAATTATAATTCAACTAATCACACAAAATTAACCTAATTAATTAATTAATCATCAATCAAATTAACTTAATTAATCCTAATTCTAATCAAATTAAATTTAAAATAACAATTAAATTAACTTAATTAAGAAAAATTAAATAATTAATTAACAAATTTATTCTAATTCAACCAATTAAACATAATTAACCTAATTAATTAACTAAACATAAATGAAATTAACTTATTTAATTAAAAATCAATTCTAATCAAATTTATGTTACAATTAATTAACAAAATTTAACAATTTAATAAATTAATCAATAAATTAACCTAAAAAATTAAAAAAAAGGATCAATTTAATAAATAAACCAATAAAATTATGATTAAATATTCTCCAATTATAAATCAAGCAATTAAACTTAAAATTAACCTAACGATTACAACAAATTACTAAATTTAATTAAAAAAATAAAAGAGTGAAAAAACTTACCTAATTTGGTTGAAATAAACCAAGAGAATAAAAGAGAAAAATGATTTTCATGTTTTTATTTAGAGAAAAGACCTTGCAGTGGGAGTAGATTGATTGAGAGTGGAAGAGTGAAGTTTGGTGGTGGTTTAGAAGGGAAGTAGTCCAATGGTCGTTGACTGGAGAAGGTGAGGGAGAAGAAAATGAGAAAGGAGGAATAAGAAGGGAGTTTAAGTAGGGATTGAAAAATAGTAGCCCTCACTTATCCATCACTATTTAACAACGAGACACTTATGTCTATCGCTAATCCGTCTCAAAATGGGTAGCCAATTTTCAATAGTTAGCTCCCATTTTTTCATATATAGCGACGACGTTTCTATTGCTAATCCATTACGGATTTGGTTCCTTTTGACTTTCAAAAAGTCCGTCCAATTTTCACCTTTAGCGATGAATTTTTCCGTCGCTAAATTGTGAGGGGTTAGTCCTTTAGTGATGAAATAGACATTGAAATTAGCAATAAATTTACAATTGTTTTTGTTATTTTTCTCAACAAATCTGTCACTAAACCATTTCTAAAACTTTTGAAAAGATTTTATGGCCAAATGTGATGACAAATTAGTGTCCGTCACTATTACATCACCATTTTGTCACTATTTCCAATAGAAGCTATTTTTTTTTTTTAATTGCTTGCTATTGAGTGATAGATAAACTTCTATCACTAATTTCCATCGATATTGGCCCTTTTTTTGGTAGTGAATTGTTTAACTATCATCGATGCCTTTCAATAGTAGCAACCTTTCTATTTTTCTTTTTTCTAGTTTTAGGTCATATATAGATATATATATTTGATTGTTTGTCAACTATTTGTTGTCCCTATTTGTCATGGGTTTTTCTTTTCTCAATAAAAAATTCAAGATTATTTTTACCATGATGGAGAAGATTGGCTTTGATCTATAGTTTCGATTTTTCATTGCTGAGCTTTATTAGTGCGGTTCGTTTCTCTATTGATTCATGGCACTCAAACTTCTAATGTGTGCTCAAAGCTATCAATTCCTACATAGACAATCCAAATTAAGAAGATTAGAGATTTTTCTTTATTGATCTTACCATTGAAAGGACTAGATGCTACTATTAAGACCATTTGTTGGTCTTGTCAAGAATACTTTCAAGTAGGAAGTAGTAATTTCCATTATTTTGTTTTATTTCAATGTAGTGAGAATGTTGATTTGTTTGTATGTTTAACTATAAATAAAATTGCTATTTATTAAAAAAATGTATTTCCACATATCGTGAGAAATATGCACTCGCTAATTCTTTTCTATAACTTAAATAAAAAAATCCAAGTATGAAAGGAGAACTACAATTAATTCCAAATTAAGACTTTTCTACATGCAATGAAAAAAAAATTTAAATATTTTTAAATTAGCTTTCTTTTTTCTTACTTGCCTATTTGAGTAGCAATACTTTCAACTCTAATTTCACGATAATTCTCAACAAGCAACAAAA